TTTTTTTTTTTTTTTGCTATTTTGTTTTTCAGCTTAATTTTGCTTTCTTTCTTTCAATGCTTTTATGAAAATGGATGGCTTAAAGATCTAATATAATGATGGCGAAGAGTGGATTAAAGTCAATTTTGCTAACTGGCAATGCCACTAATGTTCAGCCAAAACAGTTCCGTGCAATCGCATAAGCGTTTGATAAAACTATGCAAAATATTTTAAAACTTTTGAAAAATCACATGGATATTGTCTACAGAGTTTTGGAATATTCATACACTGTTAAGTGCTTTATACAGTGTTTTCTCAAATTTCTCGTTTCGCTTTTTTTTTACACAACTGTACACCATTAGTAGTAGCATCTGACTACTTTCAGTAAGCACTTTCATTGTCACTAGTTTTTACTCTTTATTTATTCATAAATTTCTTGTTTCGCATTATTATCACTGTTATTAGCAGTATCATAGGACATGTGTTTAGTGGTGTAATACTGTACTTTTGGCAACACTTTTGCACTGCTTTTACAAAAAAGGAAAGCAACGCAAATACTTTTCTAGCGAAAAAATTTTTTTCACTTTATAAAAGATACTGTGGCTGCCGACGGTAGAAAGACGGTAAAATTTCACATGGTTTTTGTCTAATTGTTAAGTTATTTGTTTATGAAACGTTGACAAGTTTAAAAAAGTTTTATCATACTGTGCTTAAGAACGGTACATATTTTTATATAAAACACAGTAAACTTTTTCTGTTCACTTTCTGTCACGGCGAGCACTTTGTTAACATATAGCTCAGTTACATCTAATTTCATTCATGCTTTTTCATCTCGGAATTTCCACTTTTTACTTCTTAGTAAGTAGTATTTATCAACTTAATAGTTGGGCTTTTTTTAATGCAAATCATATATGAATAAACAAAAATATATATGCAAAGAGTATTAACTCGGCAGAATCTTTGATGGTTCTCTCTGTCTGGAACAGTTATGTGGAACCTAGACAGAAAAGGAAAAACTTTCCAATGCATAAGGATTTTATGAACATATGGAGAAGAAAAGTTTTATATTGAGTGATTTTTGTCTTTTTAGTCATTTGTTGATAACAAATATCGAAGATTCTGTTGTCTGATAGTCTAAAGAACTGAAAGGAGACACAAAGTATTATACAAAATATTATATAAAGTATTGCCGTAAAATATACAGAATAGATGTATTTTTTTTTTTTGAAATTGGTTTTAGATTATTAAGTCAATAAATATTCAATTTTGTTTAACAGGAAGAATGAATTTTTTTATTCTCTGCTGTTTTACCTCAAAATTTGTGCAAAGTGGGCAACGTTTTTTGACAAATAAACCTGGTGCATTTCCATTCGAGGTGCACCACATATCGAGCGAAACAACACGTTGTGTATCAATAAAAATACAGCAACATATTTTTGGATTAAGGGAGTACTTTGTAAACTTTTTGAGAAGAATGATATTGTTACCAGTTTTTCTTAAAAAGTAGAAACATTTAAAATTTTAAGAAGGGAACATCTTATTTTCTTCAGAGGATGAAATAAGTATTTTTGAAAAAAAAAAAACATTTTAAAGACATTCTGCTCTATTGAAAGGCTGAAATTTTAGATAAAAATACGATAGAGAAGTTCTATTAATAAAGCTGGATAAATGTTAATTTTAGTGGGAAAAAAGTTGGTGAAAAGACAGAGAGAAAGAAGTTGGAAATATGCTTTTTTTCTGGGTTTTTTTTCGGGAATGCATTTGAGAAGAAAAAAAAATTGTTTGTTGCAAAAAGTTGGAAGAACCCTGGAAAAAGAAACATGAATAAGACCGGAAAGTAGTGCTACGGAAAACAAAAATCAGAACTAAATATATGCGCATTCACAAATAATGGGAATTAAATCTTAGTGTTCTAAGTGAATGAATTAAAAGAAAGAGAAGAAAAGCGTTAGAAAAAGTGAAGAACTGATGAGAGAAAATTTCTTCTTTTTTTTTATCATGATCAAGAAGAAAGTGAAGACAGATTGGAAAAAATTAAGAAAAATATATTCAAATCTAATCAAGTTTTAAGTAAAAGCGTTATTTTTAAGGCAAATAAAATTGAAATTCTTTTTTTGGAGGGGTTTTCCAAGATAAAAAAAAGAAGCTTTTGCATAAAAACTGATAAAGAAACAACAACAGTAACGAACTTACTGGAAAGTGAAGGAAAAGTAGTGGCTGTAAAAGAAACCAATCTAATATATATATATTTTTTTTTTTTGCTTACTTTTCAACATGACATTTTCGTTTGTCACTTTTCTTGGTTTAATGATTTATTGAATACAAGATTATATGACGGGTCAACAAGAGTGACATTTCCTATGTTTTTTCAGCATAATTATAAACATAGAAGTGACAAAACTGAAGTTCAAATACTTTAGGAATATTTTTTATTGTACCATGTATCGACACCTATCGAAAAGTGGATCTCAGGGTGCTATCTTTCGAAGTGCCACCTCAAGAAGTTGGTTGTTTAGCTTTTTTCTGTATAACAATTACTGCTAAAAAATATACAAAGCTCTCAATCTAAAGTACAAATGAAGAATTGCAAGTTTTTTTCTAACTACACGCTTTGTTTTGACTAACAGCTACAAAATCCTCATTTTGGTCACAAATTTTGCTCAATTTTATTAGCCACCATCTTTTTTTATACAATTAAAAGTTGCTTGATAAATGAATTGAGAAAGACAAAAAAAAATTCGGCAAAGCTTACATAAAATAAATTATAAAGGTTCTTATTTAAAAGTAGATTTTTTTTTTGGTAACAAAATCGCAGTCCAATTTTAAGTTTCCTCTTTTTCTAACCTGACACAAAATTTATCTAACAAATTTAAATTCTTTTTAATTGTCAATTGAAATATCCTCCAAATTTTCCTAGCACAAAAGTTTATCTTGCATACGCCAATCTCATTTTATAGCCTGGTCTTATAAGTTCAAAAATTTTGGTGTTTCATCATCTATTCAACTACTAAAAATTCTTTCTGACAGCTCTAATTTAGATTCTATAGGTTTTTACAGCATCATCTGTTTAGAAACAGTGTTCACGCTTTTAGTTTTCAAAAGTATAAAATTCTGGTACTATATTTAGGTATACAACAATCATGCCAAATAGTTTAGCTTTTTAAAAAATGTACTGCACTGCTTGAAAATGCTAGATCTTGTAACTGTTCGTTTTTATGCTTAATTTATTTGCTATATCTCGCAACGTTTTTCATTAATCTGAAGCAACTATTGTTGAAAAAAACTATTTGCTTCTCCAATCTACAAGTAATGCGTCACAAAGACTAAATTTTAGTAGATTCCTTAGCTTCTTCTAGTGTCTCTGGTTGACAATTGTCAATCAGCCGAATTCTTCAACCACTAATTTGCATCCATAAATCTCACATCTTATTGACGGTTTGCGTTTTTTTGTTGCATTCAGAATTCTTCCAAATACGTGATAATCCCCTTGTGAATACTAGATAAAATAGTGTCTTTTTCAAAGAGGTAGGCTAACCAAAAACTACAAAAATTTTTTAGCAAAAGATTGCAAAAATAGATTAATGAAGTGCTTTAGTGAATCTAATAAACAAGACTAGCACTTTATTCAAATAGCAAACTGTTCAAGTGCCATAGTTACTATACTTTGCTTCCATCAGAAATCTTATACCACTAAAAATTACAAACAACCAACAAACACACCATCAAAAAAAACATTTTTATACTTTGGCAAAATTCTTATTTTTATTTCACTTTTTAGAAAACTACCTACGATTTATTTATACGACACGTTAAATCCACTTTCTTTAGATTTTGTCCAAAGATTCTGTTACTGTCGCTGTCGATGCAGTTGTGTATTTTCGTATATCAAATGCGACTATTTCTGTTACAAATGTTGAGGATGCTGCAAGGTAAAAAGAAAAAAATTTCAATAATTGGTTCTGCTTTTGTTTTTATAATTAATCTTCAACTTTCTTTTTTGAATTTTTTTTCTTTTATTGCTGCTGAGCATTTCGTTTCCAAGTTACTCGGATAGCAGAAGTATTTTGAATAAACTGAACTATATTCTACGTTACTTCTAATTAACAAAGATTTGTAATAAAAGAACATTTTAAAAAAGGATATACATTTAGTCAGTTCAGAGGTTCCATAATTCACATTTCTGGCTAGTTTGAGAATAATAAACAGATTAGTTTTTTTTTTATACTCTATCTTTATGACATTATACAACTAATTGAATCTAAAATTGTAATCACTTAAATTATTATGATTCTTGAACCTGGTTTAGCCGCAGAATGATAGGTCGCTCTTCTAAGAGCTCCCCGATTACGCTTAATCTAATGATTCACAAAATCTTATTGAGGAAGTTGAACATCTAGAGGTTGATCAGCGAATCTGTAATTTCGCAACACTATTGAGTATACAGCGGAGTTTCAATAATCATTTAGCAGACGACTCAAGTTTACTTCCTCTCAGCCTTCACAAACAGATTCTTGTCAGCTAAAATAACTAGTTAAAAAAGAAAAAGTCAAAGGATTCTTATGCATGCTGCGAATGTAGTTATAAAAAGATTTTTGATTTACTCCTCATTTTCCTATGAACTTTCCAAGTGACTTCAGCATTTCTTCCCTGAACTTGAAGCTAGACAGCGAAAGAACCCAAACGCGTGCTTTTGTTAAGTAACAAATCCACTTACTAAATTCAACCCGCTAAGACATTATCTGTGTGACGTCATAACTCTGAACAAAACAATTTTCTGTTCTCTTTTTGGTCCTTCCCAAATCTTTCAAGCTTTAGTCAGCAAAGCGTAGCCTATCAGCGCTTACAGCCTTAAGATTGGTTTTATGTACCGTATCAAGGATTCGTCAATTCAATTATTTCCGAAAAGATTCCATGAAAAAAATTTTCAAATAGAACATGAAAAAAGCTGCAATTGAAATAATCAACATTGCGTATAAGCCGATTAACTACTAATGGAACTGAATGGAAATCGTGTAACAAACACTAACAAAACTTATTATGGCTGACCTGCAAAAAGCATTCGTGAATACTGCTTTTTTGATTCATACGGTTTCTGACGTGCTATATGTAATATATAGCTTGTCAGAAATACTTCTAGCAGTTGATACCGGGGTTCTGAGAATGAGCGAGTTTAAAAGTGCGCTGGTTGCAAAGCTAGACCGTTCTAAAGCACGAAGAAAAGAGCAGTTTTTACTAAAAACGTTTGCTTTTAAGAACTTGTAGTTTCTTTTGTTTGGAAAAAATTTTTTAATTTCTGCTTTATTTGAAAGCCTGTCTTAAGCCTTTTTTCTGCAGCTTTAGAAAAACGGTGAAATGTGTACACTAACAAATTCTGTACAAAATCGGGGTAAAAACAAAACTATAAAAAGCTTTTTGCTTTAAAGAACACATTTTAAATTTTTTAAAAAAGATATATTTTTTAAAGGCAAAATCTTTGCACAACATATCAAAATTGCAAAGCGGTGTCTTTTTAGAATTACGAGCTGTTGTGCGATTAGTGACCGTAGACAGCAAAAATCTTTTTGAAGCAAAAACAACAGTCTGGTGCTTCTGTGGGTGACAGGATGTCCGTTTCCACTAAAATGCTATCAATTTAAGAATGTATATAATAATTAAGAAATTCTTTAACTCTAATAATCTAGTAACTGGTAATGAGTAAAAAATTTTTTGCTTTCAAGTAGTTTTATAAATTTTTTCAAGAAAAAAATTGCCTTTGTTAGGAGAACTTTTTCGGTTTCTGTCGTTTTATTTTCTTACAAGACTCTTCAAATCTACATTTTTCGCACTTATTCTGTTTTTTGATTGCAAATACTGTTTTGCTGTTTCTGTTTCCGGTGCTTTGTGGTATAATGCAGGAGAATTTTTTATACATTTGACTGGTAAATCTTTTCAATAACACGGTGCCAAAAGAGTTCTTTCTTTTTCATAGTCTTGTGAAAACACTAAAATCACTAATATTTCTTTTCGTTAGTTCAAAGCCTATTTACGAAGGTCATTAAGAGTTAAGGTTTAGTCTGAAAGTATTTTTTTCGTGCAGGGCATCGCTGCTAGTTTTCTCAATATGCTTCCAAATCTCAGACTAATGCAGAGCTGCGAAAGTGACAAGAGAACAATATCCATACTTAAAAAACAGTACTGAATGTGAAATATTTGGGTTGGAAAGATTCGATAAGCAAGCAGAGCAGTACAAAGCGAAAAAGTAATCATAATAGTAATTTTTTTAAGAAGATTTTATAAAATTGTTTAAGAGTAGAAGAATTTCATTTGATTGTCTGTTCCTGAAGTAGTAGAGCTGAAGAGTTTTATAACGATTATATATATTATTTTAATTAATAAAATTTTAATTGCAACAAAGACTCTGTCTCTTGCAAAAACGCCATAGTGTTGCTTCAATTAGAGGTTTTTTCCGTCTCTTGTCACTAATCACACCGTAACTTGTCATACCAGAAAGATACCACTTTGCAATTTTGATATTTTTTATAAAGATTGTTTCTTTGAAAAATATATGGTTTTAAGGGAATTCAAGAAGTTATTAAGAAAAAACATTTTACATTTTTGTTTTTGCTTCAGTAAAAGTTATACAAACTCATCATAAATAAAAAAGCTGAAAGTTCTTGAAGGTAACCATGTTAAAGACAAATTACGTTTGTTCTCGCACTTTAGAACGGTCTAACTTTGCCACCAGTGCACTTTTTGAGGTAAACTTTCTTGATTTTACAATTCGATACCATGTGCTACAAATGGGCAAAAAAAATCTTGAATGCTGAGTGACAAAAGTGCGCAACTCAGCACCGAATGGCTCATAAATATTCATATGTTTACTTACTTGAATATAAATCACTCCATCTTAGATCGGTCACCTCTTTTACGTAGCCTCAAAAATTTTTCTAAATGGTAACTTTTGTACTCCTACATGTGAAGCCGAAAAGATCTCACCAACTTTCCTGAATCAAAAGTAAAACTTTTTCGTTTTGGAAAAAGAACATAATTTTGAGCTAAAAGGCATGTTTTAAATGATTGTAATTTGCTGTGTTTTTCACGAAGTTATGGCTTTTAAGCTAATCCGAAAGAACATCATCTATAATTTTTAGGTTCTTGCGCTTTAAAATTCTTTATAATTCACAGATGCATGACAAAATGCTCTTCTTGAAACGTTCGAAAAACAACAGTTTTGAACTCTTCTTTGGGAAGAAATATTTGCAGAATTTTTTTCTAGAGTGCAATAAACCCCAAAAAGTATTGTCGGTAAATAGGTGAATTATGAAAATGAGATTAGGTCGTGAAGAATGCGATGAGATTTTTTGTCACCCCAGACGTGCCTTTATATCAGCAGTACCATACCTTGGAGTAATTTTAGACCGGTTTGTTTGACGTATGGTAGTCTACAGTTGGGGATTTTTAACAACATAGAAGCAGAACCCTTCTGTTTTGTCGCATTTTGACGGCTTTAACCTGGTTTTCTTTTGGTGATTTATCTTTTCATTATTTTCCTATCTTGGAGCTTGCTGGGCTGAGCAGAGGGAATAATTCTACACAAAATTTGTTACTTTGAAAATTTGAAGACTTCATATTTCTACTCCGTTCTAAAATAAAATCCTGCATTATTCATGAATCTACAAAAAAGTAAAAATTTCTTGAAGAACCAGAAAGCAGTAGACATGAATTTAGAGGCATTTAATTGTGCTAAGAAAATAGAAGCTATAAGCTTTCAGTGCAAGTTGTATTTGGCTGTAAATGCACTGTTCTGCGACTTCAAAAAGATGTCAGATTCTATACAGAAGGGTTATGGATGTGATCTTTCCGGCTTCCAATGTCATTTAAGAAAAGGCATTCAATCTTACAGGAAATATACATTAAAATAAACAAATAAATATAGTACATATATATGATTAAATAAAACACGAAAATACGGCACTTGACTTCAAGGTGGCAATTTATCATGAGACTGTTTTAAGTAATTATGTATAATGTATGGCACTACAGTTAAAATCTCGTAAACATTTAATTCAGTACAACTGAGTTGACTGAACAGAACTTCATATTTGAATAAAAATATACACTAGCATGTTTCATGTAGTGATAATCTGTTTTTTCAAGGATTCTTTTAGTACTATATTAAATAACCGTCTTTATGAATACTCGGCATTTAGCTCCTTAAGGTCATTTGACAGCACTTTGTGCTGCTGCAGATGCTTAGTTTTTTTTACTGTACGTGCCTTTTTTAAGAAATTTAACTGCTTCTTAAAAGTAATTTTATCGGCAAAAGTACAATTTATTTTACAGGTCGACAAAACTATTAGCGCAAACGACTTTAAGGAATATTCTGGGCACAAAAACTTTAGCTGAAATGTTATCAGATCGTGAAGCTATTTCACTTCAAATGCAGGTATGTATTAGGTAAATTTTATACCTTTGTCTTCCAAAAATTTTCATTGTTCTCAAATTTTCGAGAAATGCTTCAGAAGTAAACTTTTTTTTATTCGGCGTTTTTAGAGCACCTTAGATGAAGCAACAGAGCCATGGGGAGTTAAAGTAGAACGAGTTGAAGTGAAAGATGTTCGTTTGCCCATCCAACTGCAGCGAGCAATGGCTGCTGAAGCTGAAGCAGCTCGAGAAGCTCGAGCTAAGGTAAAAATATTACATTTTTTGCTTTGTTTCGGTATTAAACTAGTTTTTTAGTATTTTTACGGGATTACCAGTATATTCTACAGTCTTGTTCGTTATTTAAAAATTTTTTTGAACAACTTTCTGCTTTGCTATGGTAATTTTCTTCGCTCAAATTTTCTTGTCCCTCTTCTCTTCTAATTTGCTCTCCTAAAAAAAAGGAATTTCCTCAAAGCGGTGGTTTTGTTCCAAACAAATAATAAGTGGTTAATTGGAAATGTTTCTGAATAAACCTGTTTTGTAGAATTGTATGTAATCATTTGTCTTTTTTTAAGGTGATAGTTGCTGAGGGTGAGCAAAAAGCTTCTCGAGCTTTGAAAGAAGCTGCTGAAGTGATTGCCGAATCACCGTCGGCGTTACAATTACGATACTTACAAACGCTCAATTCTATAAGGTAACTTCAAATATTTTTTTAGCAAACTGTGTATATATGTATGTATTTGTATACGTATTTATTTAAATTTTTGTTTATATACATTAATTTTGTCACTTAGCTGCAAGAATTAAATAGCAGCTAAAGTTTTCAGTAGTTTTATTGCAAAAAGTACTTACAACAATCAAACAGTAATTATTACTTATTATTTGTAGTGCCGAAAAAAATTCAACAATAATATTTCCATTTCCTATTGAATTATTGTCGACATTTTTGCATCATTCGTCACAAAAGACGTAAGTTCTGTAAAGCATTTTATTTTTATTGTTATCGCTGTTTCATATGTTTTCGTCAACTATAATTGTCTTAAAACGTATATGCCGGTAATTTTCTTTCGCAAATGTAAACGAAACGAATATTTTGTAAAGAGGAAAAAAAAGCGCCTTTTGTCTGGAAAAAAAAATTAATTTTTTTTTGCACTTTATTTTTTCAGAGAATCGCTAAAAGTTGCATAAGACATGAAACACTGTTTCGCTTTGGCCGAAGATCTCAACTGTGCACATTTTTTGTGGAATGTTTAATGCCTTGTCTGTTTATTACCTTGCAGAGATTGTGAAAAAATACTAATAATAATTTTATCTTGTTTTTTTCCTTTGTGTGTTTTTTAAAAAATGTTATTAGTAAACCAAAGTTTGTCTATAAATCGTTGTAATGTTCTTTCGGTTGAGAAGACAAAGTAACAACCGATTCGTTTCTTAGCCTTTTTGCATTCTTTCGCAGTTCTTGCATTTATTACTTACTACACGCTTTACGCTGCTAAATCACATACCAATACCACCTTGTAAAGATATCAACCTTTTTGCCATCTTTCAGATTAATCAAAAACAAAGTGAAAAAGAAAGCAAAACTGAAGCTGTTTAATCGTCTTGGATTACTCAAGTAAGACAAAATGAAAAGTATTTCAGCGGGAAATACCAGCACCATCGCTGATAAATGTAGTCAAAATTTTC